TGTGTGTGTGTGTGTGTGTGTGTGTGTGTGTGTGTGTGTGTGTGTGTAATTCAAGGTTATTTTAATCAGTCTTTTAACCAACCTACCCTCCACCACTCCAACATCCCCAAAGTACGGGAGCTGTGGAGCTGTCCTTCCTCTTTCCAGCTTCTAGTTTTATATTTGCCCATTAAGACTAGCCTTTATGTTTATCCTAACCTGCTATTACTCTATAAAACACTGGGAGAGGGAGAGAGGCGTGGGTGATTCTCCCTAAGGCCCTCTTAAAATGTTGGCTTCTTTGTTATGTTTTGGGGGTCACAGAGGCTCAGGATGACAAGCCTTTCCCAGGCTTAGATAGGCATGCTTCTCATTTAGGCATCAAAGCCTTCGCCTACACCAGGCCCTGTGGAAATGGAGGGGGTCCCTCACTTCCTTCTAGGCAGGGGCTCTCTGGAGCCCTGAGTGGATGAGAGACAGCCCCTCTCTAGGGGCCAGGCCTCTCCCACCCCGGGATGCAGGGCTCCTGGCCCAGCCTCCCGATCCTCCAGCCCCAGCCCTCCAGGGGGGAAGCTGTCTGCACAAGTCTTGGGAATTCCCCTGAAGATGGTAGCTGCCTATTAACCCTGTGGTCCCCAAAGTATTGCCCCCACCCTTGGGCTGAGCCTGAGATGGATGTTTACTCCTCTAGGGAGTAAACTCCGGCATGGCCTGGCAAGAGACAGGGCTGCCGCTCAGACCAGGGCCCCCAGACCAGGCCCCGCAGTGACCTGTTCTCCACCCCTCTAGCCGCTCCTCACCTGCTCAGGTGAGAGCCACCTGGGGCCCTCACAGCACAGAGGAGGGGGATGCTCCCCGACTTCAAAGCCATCAGGGTCTTTGTTCCCACCTTCTGCTCCTGGGAACCCCAGTAATTAGGGGAGTAGGTTTAACCCTTAAACGGTTGGGGGCGTCACCCCACCCCCGCTGAGGCTCTGGGGACACCAGCCTGGGCTTGTCCCATGGAGAGGGAGGGACAGAAAACTGGGGGAGGGGAAGAAGGGGGGCATTTGAAGTTTCCAGGGCTGGGGGCATCTCTTGCTCACAGGGGCAGCCCAGATCAGCTGGGCGGAGGCAGGAAAGGGGCGGGGGCGCCTAGGGTAGGGGAGCAGGGACCCAGCTGCCTTGCCGGCAGTGCGCAGGTGGAAGTCAGAAGCACGGGGCCCCAGACGGGTGGCCAGACCCTACTCCGCGCGCGGCTCCGGGGGGAATTCCCGGAGAGGCCCCTCCCGGAGTCGTGAACTCGTCCCTTCCCGCCTCCGCTCGCCTCGGCCTGCCCCCCGCCCCCCAGCCCCGGCGGCGGCACAGACCCGCCCCGCCAGGCTCACCGCGCTTGAGGATGGCGCTGTGGTGCGGCAGGCGACCGCCGCCCTCGAGCGCCGAGCAGTTCCAGCGCTGGTCACGCAGCTGGTGCTGACACTCGTGGACCGCGATGTGCAGGCCCTGAAGCGCGGACGCCGTCACGTCGGGGCTGCGCAGGCACAGGCCTAACTGCCGTTTGCTCAGGCCCGACAGCGTCAAGCATACGGTGTTGGCGGTCAGCGGCGGCTCGCCGGGCAGCTTCAGACCCAGAATCTCATTGCTTAGGGCCCTGGGAACCGAGAAGGCATTTGAGGGTCAGTGGTCCAGGCCTCGCGCCCCCTCTGACTCCTCCCGCCCCGCCTCTAGCCCAGGGCTTTCTCTCGTGGGCTGGGTGACAGGGGAACTGCTCACCGACTGCACAAAGCCAGGAACAGGAGACCCGCGAGGCCCGAGGGCGGAGGCCGCGGCCGCGGCTCCTCCCGCATGTCGAATCCCGGGCCCGAAGGCCCCGGTGGGCAGATCGATCAGGGCCTGCGGGACAGGGAGACTTAAGGATGGCTCCGGAATAGGGTGGCTCGCCTAGGCAACCAAAGGATGCTCAACTTCGGGCTCCTAACTCACCAGTGCCACCCCACCGACCGTTCTCACCCCCCTCAAACAAAACAATAAAGATCACGCCTTGATTCCCAGAGTACCTGGGCCCTGGAGGAAGAGTCCCCGCCTAGAAGCTGGGACTTACGCTAGTGCTCTGGAGCCGATCTAGCCAGACACAATGCCTGGCACACAGACACACTCACGTGCAAACAGAGGTATAGACTCACAAACAGCTCTCCACTACCTTGCCCACCGCTCCCTTTTCAAGGGCCCCAAGACTGGCTTCCCCTGCCCAACACAGCTTCACCCTCTCACTGGGCTGCTGGGCAGGACTGAGAGAGGGTTCCCCACCACCCCCAGATGGCAGGGCGGGAGTGGGGGGCTGTCGCCTCCAGGTGCCGTCTAAGGCCAGCAACTTCTCTGAAAAGGGTGGAGAAATGGGCTCCCCATCCCACTCTGCCCGCTTCGGCCCCAGTAGGGAGCGAGGGGAGGCTCCAGGTGCGGCAAAGTCAGGGAGAGGACTTTGGTTCCCTCCTGAAAGGGACCGTGGCGCAAGCTGAGACCTCTTCCTCATCTGCCACCTTTCCTAACTACATGTTCCCCTCCTCCTAGCATCGCCCCTCTGGTCCCCACCAGGTCCCCAGTCTCAGTCCCCACCCCTTTGCTCTCGTTCATTGCCCTCCAAATCTGGGGCCACTCCTTTATTTGCAGTGTCTTTATTTCTGGCGATATCCCTGGCTCTCTCCGCATCTCTGTGCCCCCGTGGGCGGATGCGTGTCTGTCTGTCTGACTGCCACTGTGCCCGTCTCGTCCCCGTGTGCGAGTCCCTGCCCTCCCTGCTCTCCCGGTCCCGATTACCTCCAGCTGCTCTCGTGCAGAGTCCGCCACTGGCGCGGCTGGGTAGCCTGGGATCGGGCTGTTCAAACCGTGGGGAGACTGCGTCGGGTTCTGCCCCCTCGGCAGAGCCGCATTCTTCCAGGGCAGGGCCACTCCTCTTCGCCGCTTCCCCAGCGCCGCCGCGGCCGCCGGGAGGAAGGGAGGGAGGAAGGGAGGGAGTGATCGAGAAAGCTAGCAGGCGGGCGAGCAAAGAACTGGGGGCTCTGGCTCTACTCGCGCCGAGCTCACCGGCGGCTCTGCCGCGGCTGACAGAGCTGCGGCCCCTCCCCGAGCCCGGGGCATCCCCACCCCACTCGTCGCACCCCCCGCCATGACCCGGGGAGCCCAGCCGCTCCCCCTCCTCCCAGCGCACACACACACCCTCTCCCCCGACGCCTGGGTTCAGGCTTGGCCCCGCTGAAGGGGGAGGTGGGCCAGAGTTCCGCTCACCTGCTCTGGGACAGCCCAGGCTGCAAGAAGGGTGCAGTGACCCAGTCTAGGGAGCCAGGATCCTGGTCCCAAGTGGTCATTTCTCTTTGCCTCAGTTTCCCACTGATAGTTGGATGGCTGCAAGGTGCCCTTGAGAAGATGAAGATGGAGCTGAGATCGAGCTTCTGTCGCTGGACAGTCTTGGGTAGAGCCCTCAGAGAGAGCACAGTGCAGGGCAATCGGAGCCGGCAGGAGCAGCTCCCTTCTGGGTGGCTTGGCTTCCGCCCACCTCCGAGCCCTACGCCTGCCCCTTGGGAGGGGTCAGCTCTGGCCTCAGAGTTTGGCTTTAGCAGCGGCTCGGGTAACTCCAGAGATCTTCAGCCTGCCCCAATGCTTCCCCTTAGCTTACAGGCATCCTTGCCAGCAGAGGTCTCCTGCCCTTCCTAGGATCCCGGGTCTGCACTCCACGTGGCCCATATTCCTGCTCCAGACTCTCAGACTTGCTTCACGTGGAAGGAGGAGGGCCTCGGTATCCCGAGATGAGCCCGGCCCAAGGACAGCCAGGGAAAGAGCCTGATCCTGGGTTGCAGATACGGAGGCAAACCACCTTAGGGAGCCCCAGTGGCAGCGAAGGGGTTAGGCGCTGCTGCGCTCCTGCCTGACTCACCCTCCCAGCTCTAACCACTGTGGGCTATTTTTGCCAGAGAGGGGCCCCAGGCTTCCCAGCCGCCCCCCGCCCCTGCCAGACCGCAGCCCAAGGCACCGCTGGCCCCGCGCGCCCAAGGCTGGCACGTTGACTCAGAGACAGGCCCCCCGGGGAAGCAGGGCCACGGGGCTGAAACCCACAGCCCCAGTCATCGCTTCCTTGGTACTGGCCATGCAGCTCTGCTGGGCAGCCAGCCTCCAGTCTGTGTGGCTGCAGGTCCTGCCCCATGCTGCAGGGGGCATTGCTGTCTAGGGGGCGAAGCTGTCTGAGGGAGATTAATGACTTTCATCTGGTAGGAAATGTATTAATCACCTTCCTGTGCCAGGCCTCAAGCAGGCTAGGGAGGTGAAAGCGCCACGGTCCTGACACTGGACAGCTGTGACCACGGAGGGTTGCTTGCTCCCCTCTGCTGTCCTACCTTGGGGGGAGAGGGGAGTATAGGAGAAGGAGCCCTAGAGCTCTTGCCCCTCCTTCCTGTTTAGGGGCCAAGAACCAAACCGTGTATGGCTTTTGAGGCCACCAGAATCTGCACCCCGACTCCGTAGCTTTTGTCCTTACACCTGGATTCACTGATCCTCACCAGTGTCCTTGTCCTTCTCCCTGGATGTCAGCCTGGAAGTTTACCTAGGGCCCTGGAAGGGGGGACGAGGTCTCCTATGCCCCTCTTCTCCCACAGGGGGACCTCTTGGACGCTCGTATTTCTCCATGTGTCTCCAGTTTCAGACTGTTCCTTCTTATTCTACCCTTGTTGGGCTGCCGTATAGCCAGGTGCCAAGGAAGGGCCAGGGTCAGAACTACTGCCACAGATTCCAACTTCTTAGTGACCCCAGGGCTCCCCAAGCTGGCCTATCCCAAGTCCAAGGACCCATACTCCTGTTCCCTCTCCCTGCAGAAGCCCAGCTCTGGGACATGAGGCCACAGGCAGGCAGACTGGGTGGCCTGAGCTGGCCCCCAGTGCCCTTGGCCCGACCGGCTGGCCTGAGCACTGACCCGCAGGCGGCTGGAGGGTGGTGTGGCAGGCGGGGCCTGGAGAGGGCTGCGGGTACACACCCATTGCCTAATACCCCAAGCACGCGGCCAGCTCCAGGAAAGGAGAGGGGCGGGAACCAGAGGGACCTTGACAAGGGTTGGGGCCATGACAGCAGGGGGAAAGTGAGGGACTGTCATTGCTTCAGGGAGGGAAATAGGAGCAAACTGATCCCCCTTCCCCTCAATGGGAAGGGTAGGGGGCTGCCTTCCCATCATGGGGATGGACGCACCGAGAGCAATCTGAGAAGAACACTGGGGCCCTATAGGGCGGGGGTCAAAGAAAAGGGAGATTGGGGGATCGAGCAACTGAGGCGTCGGCTAAAGCTGAGTACAGTCTCGAAAGCCTCCTCCTCTTCCTCCCCCTCCTCCCCCCACCCCGTGTTTGCCTTGGCCCAGGGTCCCGGGTGACTCATCTATTGCTGAGCCGCTGATAGGGGCGGCCAGGCCCGGGGAACCCAAATTATAGGCCCTGGAGGGATGGATGCGCCCGCGGCGGCGGTGAGCTCAGCTGCGCTGCCCACCCTCCGCCTCTCACGCCTTCTGCTGCAGCACCGTAGGCCACCACCCGGAGGCACCAGAGGTTCCGCAGCCCGACTACGCTGGACTCCCGAGAACCCCCCCCCCCCCCCCCCGCACACACACCCAACCTATCTGTGAGATTACCCTCGACAGAACTTTGCCCCCTTCTCTACCAGAGACTGATGCCTTCCCAGCCCAAGGAGACAGTGCCACCTGCTGGTGCTTCAAAGGAAGGTAGGCTCCTCTGCCAATAACCCTCAGCCCTGGCCCCCTGCTTCCTCCCCAGACCCCATCTAGGTAAAGCCTCTCTCCCCTCTGACATATCTCTCTCATTTCTATTTCAAGGGGGGCGGTGGCTTGCTACTAATTTTCTACTTTAAGCCTTTAAAGTTATCCATGGTCAAAAGTGATACAAAGAAAAATAAAGCAGGGTAAAGGAGATAGGTAGTGGAATTAACATTTTATACAGGGGGAGGAAAAGGGAAGCAACAAATTCATGGAGATAGCTGAGGAAGGGCATTCCAGAAGACAGAAAAGCAGGTGCAAAGATCTTGGGACAGACACTTACTTCGTACGTTCAAGGAATTAGCAAGGAGGCCGGTGTGGCTGGAGGGAGGAACCCACAGGGGAGAGAGTGGTAGGCAATGAAGTTAGAGGACAAGGAAGGAGCAAGGTCAGATTATATAGAGCCTTGTAGGCAAAAATAAAGATTTTGCCTTTTCCTTTGAGTGAGATAGGGAATCACTGGAAAATTCTGAGCAGAGAATGAAACGATCTTACTTTGTTTTAGAAAGAATGGCTCTGTGGAAAATAGACTATGGGGCCCAAGGACTGGGGCAGGGAGAGCTGTTAGGAGGTTATTGCAATAGTACAGGAGAGAGATATGATGGTGGCTCTGACCAGTGTTGTAGAAGTGGAATGGTAAGAATGGATCCGATTCTACATATATTTTGAAGACAGAAGGGCAAGACTGTTTTCTTTTTTTTACTGATTTGACACAGATTATAAGAAAACAGATGAGTCAAGGATGGCTCTAAGATTCTTGTCCTGAGCGACTGAAAGGATGGAGTTGCAATTTACTGGGATGGGGATGACTGAAAAAAGAGCAGGTGCAAGGGAAGAACTGGGAGTTCAGTTTTGGACATTGTACATTTTGAGGTGTTTATTCAAGTGTTAGATATGCAAGTCCAGAGTTCAGGGCCAGAGATAAAAGTAGGGAGCATGAGACTGGATAGTTCACCAAAGGAGTGAGTGTAGACTGAGAAGAAGCTCCAGATTGAACTGGGGTGCAGTTCAATGAGTTATGTAGAAATTGGGTACAAAGGTGGAACCAGATAAAGAGACTGAGCAGCCAGGGAGGTAGGAACGGTGCTCCAGAAATCGAGAGAGAATATTTCAAGGAGGAAGTGTTCAACTTTGTCTGTTATTCCTAAAAAGTTTGTTAGGATGAGAACTGAGATTTGACTGTAGAGCAAAACGGAGGTCATGGATGATTTTTATAAGGAAATGTAGTGGGTTAGAAGGTGTGATTAGGGTGGTGGAAAGACAGAATAAAGAAAAGAAACCGGCATTGGTGATTAAAGCAACGCTTTTGAGTTCTGCAGTAAAAGACAGCAGAGAGGGGATTCTCTGGTGGCGCAGTGGTTAAGAATCTGCCTGCCAATGCAGGGGACACAGGTTCCAGCCCTGGTCCGGGAAGATCCCACATGTCGCGGAGCAACGAAGCCCGTGCGCCACAGCTACTGAGCCCACGTGCCACAACTACTGAAGCCCGTGCTCTGCAGCAAGAGAAGCCACTGCAATGAGAAGCCCGCACGCCACAATGAGGAGTAACGCCCGCTCTCCACAACTAGAGAAAGCCCTTGCATGGCAATGAAGACCCAATGCAGCCAAAAATAAATTTTTATATATATATATATATATATATATATATATATATAAAGACAGCAGAGAAATGGGGCAACGTTGGGTGGTAATGTGAAGTCAAACAAAGTTCTGGGGTTTTTTAGATGGGAGACATTACAGCATATTTGTATGCTGATGGGTATGATCCAGTAGCTAGGTAAACCGATGACGCAGGAAAGAAGGAGAGGACGATTGATAGAGCGACGATTTGATCTAAATAGGAATTTGGGCCAGGTCATACAGAGTGTGACCAGACCTAGAGCCCTCCCACTCTTCCCCACTATTCCTGGTGGGTGGAATGGTGGAACAAAGGATACTGAATCCTTCTTTCCTCTCTTCCCACCTCTGCTTGTCACCAGTGGCCACAGACAGGACTGCCCTGTCTTCGAGCCCAGCTCCCTCCTCCATGATGTTTTATCAACCCACCAAGCCAAAAGATGTGACCCAGGCCCCAGTGGGAAGAAAATCCTAAGGGACAAAGGACAGGCTGCCCATGGTACACTGTCTATTTACTTGAGCCATCTGTGCTGGGTGGCCTCTGCAGAGGCCACTGGCTTTTAGACCTGTGGAAGATGCTGGGCCAGTACACCTTGTCCCTCAGGGTCAAATCCTTGGAGGGAACAAGCATGCTGGACTGGGCAAAGGGCCTGGAAAATACATTCCCCTCAAAAATAACCTCCATCAGGCTTCATTTGTGTTAATATGCATCTCTTTTAAAATGCAAGTGCCCCAGGAAGATTAATTAAACTTATCAAGCATTTATTTCTTAGAGTGATTTCCCTGCATTGGAGGGGAAGCCTGATCATTTCTGGGACTTGGAACACTTTAGGATCAGACCTGAGTATATTGCTCAGTCAAAAAGCATCCGAAAGGCAGAGGAGAGGGAAAAGAGAGGATCAAAAAGGGAGGCAATCAGCTCGGTGCTTTGTGACCACCTAGAGTTGTGGGGTAGGGAGGGTGGGAGGGAGACGCAAGAGGGAGGAGATAAGGGTATATAGGTATATGTATAGCTGATTCACTTTGTTATAAAGCAGAAACTAACACAACACTGTAAAGCAATTATACTCCAATAAAGATGTTAAAAAAAAAAAAAAAAGGGAGCGACTTCCCTGGTGGTCCAGTGGTTAAGACTCCACGCTCCACATGTAGGGGCCCAGGTTCGATCCCTAGTCAGGGAACTAGATCCCACATGCTGCAACTAAGACCTGGTACAGCCAAACAAATAAATAATTTTTTTTTTAAAAAAAAGGAGAGGCAGGAAGATCCTAAAGACCATTTTTCTTTATCTGCCAATTTCAGGAAGAGCTCCCAGCCTGCTATTGCTGCACAGTCACAAGCAGCCAGTAAGGTGGAAAGAGCATGGGCTTTGAGTCAAAACAGTCTGGGTTTTAACCTGGCTCTACCGTTTATTCCCTCGTTAGCTGTGTGGCCCTTGGATAACTGCCCAATGTAGTTTTTCCTCGGTAAAATGGAGAGACAGGAGAGACCTAAAGGAGGAGATCCTCCGTCTTCCAGGGGCCACCTGTGTGTGGTGGTGGGGC